ATTTAAATGACAACTAACTTGTAATTTAGGCAGGCTCAGTTCCATGAGTCCCTATAGTAAAGGGTACATAAAGCTTCATGTTTTGTTTTTCCTTTCTTTTTCCTTTGATATGAATCTAGGTCAATAATACAGAATCATAAGAAGGGATAAAAGAGTAGGAGAAGGAGGTAGAAGAGGAGGAAGATAAAAGGAGCTGGGACAGAAGAGGAAGGGTGTTGTAGAGGAAGGTGGCGGTGTTGTAGAGGAAGGACCAAAGCAGCCACTGAATAACTCTGCAAAGATCAGTACCCCACTTATGCAAACACAAAGGGATGAAAAGATACCTAGTAACAACTAGTTACTACATGGTGCAAACCATTCCTCAGGCTTCAGAGAGTAGGACAAGAACCAGAAGTGTGTATTTAAAAAAAAAAAAACAAACCTCCATTTCCATGTTACCCTTAATTTCTCTAACAGAGCATCTGACTTGGGGTAATCACCTTACTGGCCACGAGAAAAAGAAAATACAGAAATTTGATCGTTTTTGGGGAACACAAGAACATCTCTGCAAAGTATAAGAGATCAGAAGCACCTTTGAAAATGAGAACAAAGGAAGACTTTGACTACTCTGTTTCTATTAAACAGAGGCAATTTGAGATCAGAACAGTAACCTTAAACCAACTATACTAGCATAGCATGTACTCAGAGAGCCTGCTGCTTGTCCTGATTTTCAAGTTTAGCCAGCATTGCTTTGTATTCGCCATGAAAGGTTAACTGACATTCTATGTGCTAAAATTTAACTGAAAAATAATGTTGCCATTACAAACTGAGGGTGAGAATTCCTCTTCTGACCGGTAAAGTTGCACATAGATAAGACATATGTAAATTAAGAGATAACAACTTATATTTGTTTTCTCATACCCATAGGCTTGACTGCTAGGAAAGATTCACTTAAAAGTCTTATCTTCAGACTACAGGATATCTATTTCAGAACTTCTGTGCGAACCAGTAACAGAAGGAAGGCTCTGGCGCAATTATACAGGATTTACAAGGCCCACGGAAAGTTTCATCTGCGGTGCAGTCAATCCGCTGGGAAGTTCTCTGACAGCCTTTGCAGAGACAGGGAGGGTCCATTTCTTCTTCTTCCACTAAAACTGGCCTGGTTTGCACTAATACCTTCCATAAATAAAGTTTAGCACAACGGGCTCCCTGAGACTTGCATGCGGAGTCAGAAGCCTCACGGCTTCTTCTTCGGTCTTCTCAGAGGAGTTGCCCTCTGGCCTCTTCCTCTTGAGATAACAATGCAGTGAGAACAGGCAGGTGTGGGGTTCTCGTAGCCCCGCCCACATACCGCCATCCAGGGTTCTCCAGTATCAGTCCAGCACAGTCCACGGCAGTGTGAGCGGCTTTCCGAGCTGCCCGAGAACATCCTTAGCCTCTTGCACCGTAAGCAGAACAGAATGGCTGTGTCAACACTAAATACATGGTTGTTCGTTACACCTCAGATTTAGTCTGGCTTTGACTGGACTGCTCTGACAACCCTGTCACAGCAGGCTTTGAGTGTTGAAGCTATGGGTCTGCAAGGGCTGGAGAAGCCCATTTGAGGACTTGCAATACACAAGTGGTGTAATTATGGGTAGCCCTATGACATCAAGGTGAACTGTTAATGATTTTGTTGCTTAGTGACGAATCTCCTTAAGCTTCTGTTTTATGTCTTCATCACATCTAGCAGAGAAGAATTACATAACGTTCCTTTATCTGCACTCTGCACTCGATCTGAGTTATGTCAGACGGAAAGAGCTGGCATTCTACCTACTTGAACTTTGCTACCCACTCGCTGCCCTTTCCCCCTTCCTGGGAAAGGCTGCTCTGATTACAACATTCCCCAGATTTCAGTGGCCTCTGCTCTTGGTTCCTTCTGGGGCACTCTGTTCTGAGCATGACCTGTTGGCATTGAAGTGTGTGTGTGTGTGTGTGTGTGTGAAAAATCCTGTTATTTTTTTTAAAGTTAGTTTCACATATTTAATTTTAAGTTAGTATAAAAAACAACTGCTTACTGAATTCTCTTCTGCTTAAAACATTTTTGACTCTCCATTCTTGTTGGGGGGTTAATTACCATTAGCCCAAATGTTAGAAATGTGTTCCTGACCTGTTGTTTAACACTCACACAATTATATTAATACATACTCACACATCAATAATAAATAAGAGATATAAACAGCAAAAAATGACTTTTACAATTTTTTTCTGCTTTTGATTAATTGCTAAATAAAAAATATTACTTTTATTTTTGAGATTATAGTATCATTATGTCATTTCCTGTTCCTTCCTTGAGACCCTTCTATTTTCTAGTTTACATTAATTGTTGCTACATATATGTATATGTGTAAACATATATATGTCTAAATATAGCCTACTCAGTCTGTGTAATGGTATTTGTATGTATGTTTTCAGGGCTGGCCATCTGGTGTTGGACAACCAGTTGGTGTGTCTTCCCTGGGAAGATTACTTTTCCCACTCTCAGCATTCCTTAGTTCTTTCTTAAGGCCTCCTGGACTTCCCTGTCCACACTGCCATGTCTATTGCTGTTATTCTTGTTCATCTCACATTTGGGCCATCATGCTGGTGACACTTGATAAGTGCAATTTCTGACATTGCTAGGAGACCCAGTCCCACAGCAAACTTCTTGATTCCTGGCTCTTACAATCTTTCTGCTCCCTCTAATGTTCCCTGAGCATTAGCTGCGGTTATTTTGTTGAGGGATCAGTTTTCTACAACTTACACACTTTCTTATAAAAATGACAAAGGGGCTAATATTTAGGAGTCAGAAGATTTTTACCCCAAATCTAACTTTGATGGAAGAATCACACAATGTGACATTTGTCTAACTTACACATTGTCACATGACACCTACCGGCAGCTACATTACAGCATCTTCTTTTGATGTTATCAGAGCCTTCCAGTTTGGCCCAGCAATGACTACTTTGTGCTTTCTCCCCAACTGGAAAACCAAGTGTGGCTGTCATTTATTATCATTTTACATATACCTACTCATATTTTAAGCATCAGTTAAGTGGTTAAGAGTACTTGCTGCTCTTACAGATGACTGGTATTCAATTCCCAGTTTCTACACTGCAGTTAACAACCATCTGTAACTGAAGTTCCAGGCATTCAATGCCATTTTCTTGTTCCTACGGGCATTACATGCATGTGGTATACATATACACATGCAAGAAAGTGCTTATACACATAAATCAAATAATAAATAAAATTTAAAAATTAGACAAGAGAAAGTGCAATTAAAAAACATTCTTACCACAACCAATCAAAAGGTAGACTTGTGGAACCCAGTCTCAGTGGATACATTCTTTTGGAGGTCAGAAGTAGGCATCAGTTGGTGCTGGGGAATTGTTTATATTCTGCCAATCATGTTTTAAATAAACGCTGATTGGCCAGACAGGAAGTATATGTGGGTCAACCAGACAGGAAGTAGAGGCGGGACAATGAAAACAGAAGCATTCTGGGAAGCAGAAAGCTCCCTTTCCAGTTCTGCTCAGATCACCGAAGAAGCAAGATGTGAGCTGCCCTGCTGAGAAAGGTACCGAGCCATGTGGCTCACATAGATAAGAATAATGGGTTGATATCAGTTATAAGAGATAGCAAGAAGCCTGAGCTAATGGGCCAATCAATTTATATATAATGCAGACTCTCTGTGTGATTCTTTAGGGCTTGTGGGAACTGGACAGGACAGAAACCCCAACAAGCAGGCCTTCATGTTACATCAGCTCCATTGGATCTTGAGTTACAGGTGGTTGTCAGCTGCCTGATGTGGGTTGTTAGAATCAAACTTGGTCCCCTGGAAGAATAGTATGTGCTCTTAATGTGTTGGGGACCAACCTCGACAAATTACTTTTTGAAAGACCTGGATAAATCCAGACCCCTCTAGCAGAAAAAAATAGAGCCAAAAATCTAAGAAGGGAGAGAAGAATCAAAAATCTAGATTAACCAGTTCAGTGACTCCTTCAGGAACTAGCTGAAGATAAAGTTAGATTATAATCTTGAGAAACAGTGAGTTACCCCTTTGTGATTATCACTGGTATTTTTGAAATTTTTCAAAGATCACTGGTTTTTTGGAATTTTCCAATGACGCCCTCTGTACCCCCTTTGAATGGTTTCTTCCCTTAAATACTCCTTCTCCCAGCTACTCGGGGTCGAACTCTCTACCCCTGCGTGGGAAATGAATTTCAGCCCCAGTGCACTGGTTCTTGTCCTTGTCAATAAACCTCATGTGATTGCAGCAAGGACAGTCTCTTGTGAATTCCTGGGGGATTGTGTTATCCCAAGACTTGAGTGAGAGTCTTCCCGCTCTGGAGGTCTTTCACTTTCTCCAGAGTGGAGGCATGGGAATTTAGAAATATAGTAATTTTCCGTGTTTAATTTCCAACAGGTTAATATACCCATGACCCCAAAAAGTAGAAGTAAAACAAAAGACTGCATTAACATATTAATTGAAAGTCACAGGCTACATTCATCACGCTGTGCCCCAGACTCTTGCTCTAGACCAAACACTCTGTAGGCAAACCACTCCCTGGGTGGAATCCCAAGTTATTTCCATAAAGGGAACTGGAACTTAGTTGGACCCTTAGACTTTTGTTTTAGGTAGGAACCAACTACTTCCCTATTTCAGGAACACAAGGTCTGACAACTAGCCACACCTGTTGACAACAGCCTTGATAGAGCAGACCTCTCTGATTTACAACTAGGTGGGACCTTTCTTTGAGGTAGAAACAAAATAACCTTGCATGAACTAGAAACAGGTCCCAAACTCTCTGACCTTTGGCTTCTTTGGGTCTCCACATTAATGAGCAAGTCATCTTGCTGCCCCCACCCCCATCCCCATGCCACTACACTATAATGGGCAGAAATGTTCAAATCTTCAAAAGCTAACTTGGAATTGCATATAATTTTTTGGGGGGCAGGCGGGAGGAAGAAGAGGCTGCTCCTGAAAAAGTAAGACATACCTCTATAGTTTAGTCTTCTGGTGGAATTTGTACTCTCCAAGGAACTTTCAACAGAGTCAGCTGAAACAGGAAGGTGGCTTTGCCTGCATCACCTCAGCTGAAGCCTGTCAGGCACCATTAAAGCACAGTCCATTTTGTGGTGAAGAAACTTGGGATCTTATAACATTTTCCTCATGCTATGTCTCACTTCTGCTTTCAAATAAATTCCGAGCTAGCATATATCCAAGGCTGATTCAGTCAAGTGCAGGTTGAAGGAGCTGGGGTTGGGATGGAAATGCCTTGGAAAGAGAACTAAAATCTGGCTTAGTCAAGGAGTGCTAGGATTGATATGTATGTGCACCATCAAAAGCTGCAAAAGAACGTACATTCACAATTCAAGGACCTGAATCAGAAAGGTTGCTGAATCTGTGGCTGCAGCATAGGGCGCAAGCCTGAAGATTGAGAAGCCCTCCCCTGAGTTAGAGTTAGAGAGAGAGAGAGAGACAGAATACAATCCTAGAAACAACTGGAGTGCTGGTTCTGTGAGGGCTCTTCCCCCCTTCCCCCGTGGGTACAGAGCTATCTTTCTTTGTCTTCACTCGGCAGAGAAAGAACATACCTTTGCTATTGCTCTCATTATAAGGGTGCTAATCTCCCCGTGGAGGCTTCCACTCTCAAGAATTTAGCTAAGGCTAATTACCTCTGCTAGGTCTTCTGTCCAAGCAGCACCACAGCGGGGAATAGAGCATCAGCCATGGAATTCGATGACTTAGGTCAGTTGGTAACAGTTGAGGAGCGGGCGTGCTGCCTTAGTGACACTCAAGGGAGCACTGCCCCACCCGCGGTGCCCGTTCTTTGTTGTTCCTCTTGTTGTTCACTAGGTATAACTACAGTGTCAGGAGAGTTCACAGTGACACCAACACTCCTGCCTGCTCCCCCTCCCCAAGAGACAGACAAACCCTTTAAGGTTTGCAATTTATTGCTTATCAGAGCAAGGAAATAGATGTGGATAAACATCTCCAGTAAACTACGGAACTTCATGCTTCCAGAACTTTCCACATTAATTTTTTTTTTCAGGTTAAAATAAAAATGTTTACTGTGCATCTCCCAGAGAGCATAAGTGAATCTTGGCTCTGGGTGGGTCTCAGTGGTAGAGCACTTGGCTACTCAATATGAGGCCCAATACTACAAGGAAGAATTAGATTTTCAGTAGTTTATTAGAGAAAACCATTTTGTGGCTCACTGTGCCTTGAGTAGGTAGTCTTGTCCCATTAACTTTATTCTGGACATTTTTATCTTTACTGTCAATTTCTAACAGTTATCTAGCATTGTTTCCCACAGTCTGGCCTGGGTTCTAGTAAGGATTGCTTAGAACTTTCCCTACCTGATTCTTTTGACGTTTATCACCAAAGTCTAAGAATGTAATCAGCACAGAGCAATAGTTTTTCCTTCCTTCAGAACACATTTAGACTTCTGAAGGCAGCAGCCAAGGTTGTCCTAGCTCCAGCCTCCATGATCAGCTCAGGAACATTCTCTCTAGACTCATCATTGTATTAATAATACTGGTGAAAATAATAGGTCCCATCATAAAAGGACTGATGTGCCATATCTAACACACGAGCCCACTTGAGAATACATTCTAGAATATTTTAAAAAGTAAAACCTGTGCCGCTAATTCTTACAGATGAAATAGGATCCCCTAAAATATACATTTGGAATCACCAACTTCGAATATGCATTTATTGGTAGACAGAACCTTTAAAGGGCAATTAAATATAAAAGAGATGATAAAGATTGGGCCCTACTTCAAGAGAACTTGTGTCTCTAGAAGAAGAAAAATCAGGGACAAGTGTGCAGAAGCAAGGTCCTCTGAGGACAGGGGCAGAGTGATCATCTGTTGGCTGAGAGTGGCCTCCGGAGAACCCAGACGTAGGGCACCTTGATGCTGGATTTCCAGCCTTCGGGACTCCGACATAACACATTGTGGTTGTCTTAATGACCAAGTACATGCTTGTTTATCATGGCTGTTCTGTAAACTAAGATGTGAGTTGTGTTCTCTTCCTGCTGTGAGTTCTAGGAAACTCAGAATCAAATGTGAAGTCCACGCTAATTCCACACATGTTCCATCTCCCCACAATCCCTGTATTTTCATCTTTCTTTTGTGACTCACTTCTTTCTCTTTCAATTTTATTAGGTTATTATTTGTTTTTATTGTTTGCGACTTCAAAGCCTTTGTAGGAAAGAAGCAGGACACAATGAAATAAATAACAACCTAAAGGAATGCTTTATAGTTACAGGGTCTCTTATTTCAGGTACACCTTTCCAGTTTGCTGTAATGGTTCTTTTTTATTTCTAGACTCTTTAATGTTGGAGTGCTGCAGGGCTCAACCCTCAGACATTCACTTTTCCTTATGTCAGCTCAATTCTTGTTTGATCTCAGACAGACTTATGACTTTATTGTTTAGCTGTGAAGTGTGTGTATGTTGTATGTGGATATACTGGAATCTATCTATCTATCTATCTATCTATCTTGTATGTATGTATGTACATATGCATATATTAGCCATCCATCCATCCATCCATCCATCCATCCATCCATCCATCCATCCATCCATCATCTATCAATTGTAAGCTTTCTTCCCAATCTCTTTACATGTGATAGTTAGGAATCTCATATTTAGCATGTCTTAAAGGCAACCATAAGTCCAAACTCTTCCTTCTCACCCTCGGAAAACACACACTGTCTTGGACTTCTTAACTCAGTAAACATCAATCCTGTACTTACAGATACTTGAGTCTAAAAAGTTGGAGCTATTTTTGAACTTCTGTGATTTCCCATTTGTCAGAAGCTTCATTGCCTTCTTCATCAAGATATTTCTAAGAGTTGAGCAATTTTAGGCATCTTCTTGCCACAGCACTGGAGACCACCCTCACTTATCCCTTTGTTATTGTCTACAAAGCGACCTTCTGCTTCCATGTTTTTTCCTCATGTGAACCATTGTCTACGGTGGCCAGAACACTCCACAAAAAGGCAAGTCAGATCAGGTTACCTCTTTGCTCAACCTGTGGGGGTTTCCATCACATTAAAAGGTAGTTCTTACAATGGCCTGCGAAGCACAATACAATCCAACTGTGTTTACTCCTTTGACCCCACCAAGTTTTCTTTGTCTCTCATCTATCCAGATTCAATGACTTATGTTTCCTGCTTCTTCTGCTTGTATCAGAAAGTAGTCTCCTCCAGGATATCAACAGACTCATTCTTATCTTCAAGACTCTATTATTTTATTAATCAAGATATCCTTATTCGAGAAACTTACCTTGTAGTGTTTGGCACAACGTCAACAACTGGATGTCTTTAAAAACACAAATATTATAACTGAATGTATATTACAACAAAATCTGAAACTCAACCTAAATTCTTGATAATTTGTTCATCATTTTTAAGATGTCAATCACTTAATAATAAACTAGGTCCTGATTTGTTGTATTCGATTTCCTGGTGTAAATGCTCTTTCCAAGGCCAGTCCCTACATACTAAAATGCCCCTAAAAGAGAAATGAAGAATAGGCATGCCATGGCAGAACATCCCTTGTGCAGCATTTTCGCCGTGTAGACAAGAGCTATGTGAAACCATAAGAGAACAGGCATGTACATGTGTACAATGTAGTAAGACAACTAAGATTTTATTAAAAATTACATTTTTTTATTTTGCGTGTATAAGTCTACATGCCACTGTAAACATGTGGCGCTTAGAAAACAACTTGTCCAAGTCATTTTCCTCCTTTTATCACATGTATTTAGGGACTGAACACACATTGTCAGGCTTGGTGGCGAGCTCTTTTGCCAGCTCAGCTATCTTACTGACCCCAATTAAGAAGTTTTAATTCTTTTAAACTTTTGCTTGAATCAAAATTGCTGTAGTTTAGGTCTGTTATATCTACAAAAGGCCTTTACATTGAACACGTGGGCCCCAGCCTGTGGGAGGAACTTTCAGGATTGCAGCCTCATGAAAGGATGTTAAGTCACTGGCAATATGTCCAAGGAGAGTACATTGGGACCTTATCCTTCTTTCCTCTTTTCTTTGTGATTTGGCAGCCATCAGGTAAGAAACCTTGCCCTGCTGTCTACTCACTACATGACATTTTACTTTGTCATGGGCCTAAAGCAGTAGGTTCAACTGATCATGAACTGAAACCTCTGAAGCTAACTTTTCCTCTATGTAGATACAAGTTATGGGAAACCATAGAGCACAGACGCAGTGAAATATCTTTAAAGTAGTAAGACAATTAAAATTTTATTTTAAAAATTATATTTATTTTAATTGTTATTTTAAACAAAACAAACCTCTCTCATTTCCTCCTCCTCCTCCTCCTTCTCTCCCTCTCTTTCTCTCTCTCTCTTTTCCAAGACAGGGTTTTCTGTGTAGCCGTGGCTGTCCTGGAACTCTCTTTGTAGACTAGGCTGATCTCGGACTCTCAGAGATACACCTGCCTTTGCCTCCCAAGTGCTGGGATTAAAAGGCGTGCACCACCACCGTTATCACTCAATTATTTTAGTTCTCTTATCATAGTAATAGAAAGCTTACTAACACAAAGAGGGCGGTTTATATGAATCATAGGACAGAAACATGAGATCAACAGTTAAGAGCACTTGCTGTTCTTTTAGAGGACCCACGTGTGGTTCTCAGCATTCGCACCAGATGGTTCACAATCATCTTTAACCTCAGGGGATAGGAACCCTTTTCTGGCTTCTGTGGCACTGTACTGATGTAAAACTCCACCCTACACACACACGCGCGCGCGCGCGCACACACACACACACACACACACACACACACACCACCCTCCCATAAATATATTACATGCAAAGATAAAATACATTTTTAAAAGTTTGTGTAATTCAATTTTTAGTGATGACCATGTATACCACTGGCCTCTTAATTGATCATTCAGTGTAAAATAGTTTATTTTATATTGCATTTACCTTGCTATATTTATTCCACTAGTCCCTAAAACTACATATTATATATGTATTATAGTTTTAGTATATAATGTACAAGCCCAGTTCTAAGCAACATTTTTAGTGACAGACAAAATGACCAAATGATCTTACCTCAGTGAGTATACAAACACACCCATATATTCTCATGTACATAGTATTTTTTCACCATAATTTAAACTTAGTGAGGCTAGGTATTTGCTATTTTGTTCGCCATCAAACCACCTGACCTAGGAATGTGGCTTGTACATCATTTAAATGTTTACTTATTGAAGAAATAATTGAGTTGATTAACCTTTTGTACAAAGTGACTGATCTATAGAGAAGGAACACACCAGGAATCAGGACAGCATCTCTGTCAAAAGTCCTCACAGACACCAGACTAGCTTATCTCAGTTTGAGAGCTCGCTTGTAAAGGAGGGGCGTTTTACTTTTGCTCCCATTTTGCGTACCGGAAACAGCACAGGCCTTCCCAGCGACATACAGTGGTCAAGGAACAAGGCCAGGGTTCATATCTTGTCTTTCGGTTCTGTAAATCCTCTTTAAGAAACAGCCTAGCTTTAAAAAATTATTGAAAATTTCCAAATGGCATAAAATTGACACACAGAAAATGAACCCTGAATGTCTACTATCAGCCTTCAATAACTATCAACTTCATTTGTTTTTATCGATACTCACTTTTCTAGTTCAGTTATTTTGTAGCAAATCTAAATCTGTCTCTCTTCAAAGTACTTCTTTTAGTCTTGTTTCTATTATTTT